CTGAGAAGGGAAGCTTCAATCAGAGGTGCTCGACACTTTCGTGGAGGTCCAAGGAGGCTAAGGATTGAAACTCTTGCTGTGTTGAAAGGTCTAAGTGTCTAGTTATGAATTCGACCAAGCTCGATTTTAGGTGTAGGTCTAGAGCTATGCTAGGGTCTTTGTGGAAGGGGGATTGGATGGGGCTTCTCCCTCTTTCACTGTGGTGAAGGTGTGGGTGAGTTTAATTTGATTTTGATGGAGTGTAGAGGTGTAGTGAGCTCTGTCCTGGTTTTTGGCAGAAGTTTGAGCTCAAAATTGAGATTCCATAGTGCGAATCAGTGGAGGAAAGTGGTTAGCTTAAGCTGAGGAGGTCTCAAAGAGTCTTTGGGAGCAATTTGGAGGGGTCTCTCTGAGAAATTTTTAGCACATCTCCATGGTCGTGGAGATGAGCTTTTTATAAAAATGGCTTAAGGCTTTCCGCCATGGCCAATGAGGCCAATGAGGCGGTGAAATGTGATGTTTAGGTGGAGAGCAAAAAGACTCTAACATTTAATTTGGATGAGGTGGCCTCTAAATTTGAAATGGGTTTGATTACATGGGGGTGGCTTATGGTTTTGGTGTTTTCCAGCCACTAGGCCAGTCAGCTGGCCAGGGGAGGTGGCCAGAGGGCTCTGGCCAGAGGGCTCAGGGACCTCGGACCTCAGAGGAATCTGTCACAGTAATTAAATGGGTTTGGGCTTTGTTTTGGCAAAAAAGATCTTAAGCTTAAGCAAATATAGAATGAAATGCCTTAATTTAGGGGACATTTGGTCCATGGCTTAGCTTAGGTGGTTTTATGGAGTTTAGGCTGGTCACTAGGGTCCAACTAATGGTTGTAGAGTTATTAATTTGGTGGCTGGGGTAGTTAGGCTAACTTTAGTGCATGGGTCCAATGTGGGGTCAAATGACCAAATCTTGGGTTTGGGCTAGGTTAGCCATGACCTTGAGCTCAATTGATTGATTGATCAACATTTTGTAGATGATTGTAAAATTTTTGGTGAAGGATTGAAGTGATTTTGCAATGATTTTGAGTTCAATTGGAGGGTCAATTTGGAGGATTTTGGGATTTTGGTCAATTTGGGCATGTTGGGCTAAACTTAGGTCTAGGTTGGGCTAAGGTTGGGCTAAGTCAGCCTTGGGCTAAGTCCAAATGAATGGTAAAATGATCAAGGGAGATGTTTTGAAGATTTTTCATGAAGGAATAGAGTTGAAATTTTGGGGCTAAGGCCATCAATTTGGTGAAATTTGGGGATATGACCAATTTGGGGTAAATTTGGGACTTTTTGGACTTAGGTTGAAATTAAATGAAATTGAGGCTTCACCAAGGCCAATTGAAGATCAAGTTTGATGTTTAGGAATGTTATGAAGAGTTTACAACATAAATTGTGGCAAGTTGAGTAGGCCATAGGTCCAATTTGGTGAAACCAAGTCATACGACCAAAATTGGGGGTTTAGTTTAGATCAAAATTGGGCTCAAAGTAGGGGCTAATTGAGCTTGGATTTGGTTTATATTGCTCATTTGAAAGGTGAATTTGAGTTTAGAATTGAAATTGGGAGAAATTGAGACCAAATTGATGAACATTTGAGGTAAATTTAGGGAAAATTGGGTCTTTAAAGGTAATTTGGGGATTCTGGTCAAAGATGCTCAAACTGGTCAAATTGGGTCATGTGGTAGTTGAGAAAAATGAAACTGGGAACATTTAAAATGTTTTGGAAATTTTTGGGAATTTTTGGAATTTTGGGCTACGGAGGAGCATTTTGGTAATTTGACAATTTTGGGTAATTTGGTTGTTACACACACACACACGTTATCTAAGGATTATTCTATTGTGCTCTCGTAATCAGAAGTAATGCACGATAAAAATAAATATAATTAAATTGCATCGACATTAAACAAACTTAATCTAAAACTAAAGTACTCGTACCTTGCTAAAAATGAATTGCAAGACAAGATCTTAACAACACAAACAACATTTCAACATAGTGCAAATAAAGTGAAATATTTCTGGGTGGTATTTCGGCACGTCATAAATAATTCACAATAAATTATGGGGAGCAATTCAATGTAGAGAAAATGATTCAAAAAATAAAGAAAATTACTAATTTAAAAATGTTAAAAATTGTTAAGATCTGTACAGGGTTGTTACACCCCACAATCGAGGTGTTATTTTAACCACCTTCAGACCAGGAGCTCTGCGCCGTCAGATATGCAGAGTATTTACAGGCTCATACAATATTAATGGATTAATTAACATTTAATAGAGCATAATTAAAATTATTTCAACTATAATGAAATAATATTTCTTTGGTTAAAAACTAATGACAATATTTCATAATACTTGTGTGTTTCTTAAACTCTTTCATGATAAAAAATGTAAAGTTAAATGCAAGATAAAGTGTTAATTATTCTAGTATATGCAATGAAAAAATGCATTCAAAGCTATATCCCAAGCTCTCATTAGGCAGTTTACTCCTTTTTGACAATGTTCATCATAGCTTTAAATATATTACAATTCATATACATATATTTCTAACCTAGGGATTATTCTACTTTGTTCTCGTAATAAGAAGCAATGCACGGTTAAAATAAATATATTTAAACTGCATTGAGATTCAAACAAATGTAATATAAAACTAAAGTACTCCTACCTTACTAATAATGAAGTACAAGACAAGATTACGATGGCACGAGCAACATTTCGACCTAATATAATATTTTTGGACAGTATTTCTACACGTCATTAGAAATTCAATTAAATAACGGCCAACATTTCAAAATAGCAGATAACTAAAAATTTAAGAAAATTACAGGCATCATAACGAGGTGGAGCAAAAAATTTAAGGAAAAAAATATTAAACACCGTAATTTATCATAAATTATTTTAAAAAATAACGTGCATTATAACAGTTTAGTGTAAAAAAAAATGATACAAAATTTTAGAAAAAAATGGGTATCATTTTAGCATATTGTAAATAATTTAAAAAAAAATACGTGCAATATAACAGCCTAGTGTAAAAATATGATGACATGGAGTAAAAAATTTAAAAAAAAACATGCAGTATCTATCATACTCTAAATAATTTAAAAAGATACGCATTATACATATGTAATGTAAACTATTAATTTAAGAAATAGTATTAATCTAAATAATATTACAAATACTTGAAAATAAAAATAATAGGGCAGAAGAGTGGAGAAGGGAGGGAGAAATTAGGAAGCGCTCTCCATAGGAGGAGGAGAGGATGGAGGAGGGGCTAATTTAGAGGGAAATCAAGCATGTTTTTATAGGAGGGGAGAGGGGACGAAAACACCCCGATGGATGACACGTGAATTGATTGTGCGCACCCAAAGAGGGCATTAATTCGGTTATTCGGTGGGCTCCGGTCACGAAATAAATGCCTCCTCTGTGGGGGCGTATTCAATTCAAACATTTGACTTAAATTTTAGTTATATTGATAAATATATTAATTGTATTTTTTTTTACAATTTACTTATATTGCTTATTAATTTGGTTATATTAAAGAATATAATGTGATGCATAAAAACAAGAATATAATCAATAAACATAGGCTCAAGGTTAATGTAAAACTTATTAAGAAAATATATTATTGATTTTTAGTTATTATTATTATTATTATTATTATTATTGTTGTTGGTGAAAGAAAAGGCGTAATTTGACTCAAATAACTAAATTTCAGGAGGAAAGGAAATCATAAATTATCGTGACTTCTCACATGCTCTTAACTTGAGCCACAAGCTACACCTAAAAACTTTAATTTTGGATTTGCATTATATTTTATTTTTTCCATAAAAAAGAAGTTCTCCAGGAAATGCATCCATATTTTTTAAAGCTTTTTTAGAAACAGTTTAATTCATTCTATTAAATTATTAAATTACCATTAAAAGTATTTTCATACGAAACGACAATTTGGATGAAAAAATATATATTAATTTAGTAGATGATAATTGATTAATTAATAAAAATCATTAATAATTATTTATTTATTAAATCAATTTAGATAGTCGTTAAGAGTTTAATTTAGATAATTAAGACTACAATTACTGAGTTGCAGCGGCTAAGCATAATATAATTAAATGTTTAATTTATCACTTAAATAAAATATTTGAGTAATTGAGGTTTACATTAGAATCTAAAGACCTTCATTTGAGTTGATCTAAAATTGAATGCATGAAATGTAATTTTAGTAGTAGTAATAGATATAGTGGCAAAGCTTTAACGATGAGTGATCAAATCATTAAAAGATGTGAATGGTTTATATATTATTGACCTATTGTTCAAAGTTATGGTGGCATAGTGAGGGATATTATTAATAGAATTCAAGTTGGATGGTTGAAGTGGAAGAATGCATCGGGTCGATTGTGTAATAGAAAAGTACCCCTTAGACTTGAAGAAAAAAATTACAAGAGGGTAGTGAGACCTGCAATACTTTATGGTGCAAAATATTAGCCTTTAAAACTGGTGCATAAAACTAAATTAAATGTTGTTGCGATGAGAATTGGGCATCTTGTACAAAAAATGATCTTAACTTATTTGAATTAAACGAAAATGACACTCAATGTGACACAACAAGGAAAGAAATGATTCATGTTGCTGACCCGTTTAGTGTGATAAAGACTTGTTGTTGTTGTTATGGTTAAATTAAGTAATTTAATTGATTAATTCTCTATTAAAACTAATTAGTGTTTATCAACACAAACTAATATTAAATTTTATTTACATTGTGTTTGACAAATTTAGAAATGTATAATTAATAAAGGCATTAACTAAACTCAGATGTTACTTACCCAACTAAAGCACAAAGATAACTTAAAAACAAATTAGACTTGCTATTTTTATATAATTGATACCACAGAGAAGATAAGTTAAATAACTAGAAAATATTTTTATTAACAGTTATAAAAAATTAAAATTAAATACATAAATTCAAGCTACTCGCAAGCCTTCACTGTTTTCATTCGAGTTTAACAGCAGGATTCAGGCCTCTCTCGTTTACTCCGTCCTCCATTATTTTCCCTTCTAAACTAAACCCATAGAACTCGCGGCTTCTTCTCGTGACTCTGCTCTCGGGCTCTCTCTCTTTTTCGGGATCGCAGCCTGAGGTCGGAATATTCTCGGGATTTTTCGGTTTTTGATTTTTTAATCTTTTCTTCTCTCAGATTCTCTGGTTTCCGTATAAGCATATATTGGGTGGAGAGGGAACAGGAAGCCATGGATGCTTGCAGTTTGACAGTAAAGGGCAATGCTCTTGCCTTTCAAGTGAGGAAAAAGGGAGGATTGGGAAGAGAGAATGGAATTTGGGGAGATGAAAATGGTTTCATGTCTAAGGTTCTTAGGAATAGGAAGTGTGTTAGTGGGAGGAGTTTGGCTGGAAGGGGGAAGGAAGGATCTATTGTCTCTGTTCTAACATCAAATGTCAACAGTGAAACTAAGGTAAGAAGCTTTTTACTGTATTCTGATAGTCTTTTAGTGCTTCGTTTTTTTTTCTTTTTTGATCGGAGTTTGCTGAGCTATGCATGATGTAAATTATGCTGAAAGATTGTGATGTTTGATGAGTTCTGGAAGTGTGTTCTCCATGCTTTATGTATTGTCATTTTAAATGATAGACATGGCTTGCAATGCTTGAATGTTCTGATTTAGCAAGTAGATATATTTTACTTGGTTTTATTTATTTATTTATGATATATTTTACTTGGTTTTATTTATTTATTTATTATTGCTATAGATGTATTTTGGTGTGTAATGAAAGCATGAGGGGGTATATTTTGGTTGAAAATTTGGTTTTTGATAATTTTACTTTAGCATGGAATTGGTCTTCCATCATCCATCTTTATGATTTTTTAACGAAAGAAGTAGCAAAAGTTAGAATATACTCTCTATTAGTTTTTGGATTTTCATCTGTTTACCCTTAGGACCCCTTATGTTAATATGGCCACATAAATGTTGACTTCTGTCTTTCTGTATGAATGGTTCCTGTTTTTTTTTTCCAAGAATATTTTAAATTGAAGTAGCTAGAAATAATGTGTCGTTTTTGATGCTCTTTCGATATCTCCCATGTTTTTTTTTCCTGTTGGAGATGGTTGGTAGAAACTAGAAAGATTGAAACATAAGTCTTATATATATATACACATTATTAAAGAGCAAAATTAGAATGAAAAATTCCAAAAATAATGTGTGAGATCTATTCAATATAGTATCCACTCCTTTTTTTTTAGATTTTTGAAATTAGAGTTGAGGACGTGATCTGATTCGAGAATTGCAAAATGTTGAACTTTTGGATGAGATATTTCCCGTTCTTTATAATTTTTAAATGCAAAATATAGGATAAAAAATTAAATATTAAGCCAAAAAAATATTTGTTAAGACTCTGCTCGTAGGCTTGAAATTTTTGAGGCAGGAACATGTGATCTGATAGTGAAATTCTAATTTTCAATTTCTTATACTTTCACTATCTAATAGAATCATCTAAATTTATCAATAGAGCACTAACAAAAGAAATTTAAATTATTTGGAAATAAAATAATCAAATATGAATTTTTCTATGATAGCCGCATCTTCTATTAACTTTGTCTCTTCTTTTACTCATTTTATTATTCAATTTTTATACCTTGAATTTATTACTTTATGAGATATCAAAAACTCAATGAATGCTCATTCCTCTAAGCTATAGTAACATGAAGAAAATAAAAAAATATGCAAGCTATTCAAATATAGTAAATCATTATTTAATTTGTTTTGTTGTTTATATAACTAAACTGTTCATTAAAGCGATTCCAAATTTTCTTATTATATATATAGTATAATATTTTATCTTATCAATATCTTTTTATATTTATGCATTTGTTACAACAAAACTGTCTAAAATCATATCGATTAAGATACATCAATATCAATATATTATTTCAGTTTACGTGCATAACTATTTTAGCATACTCAGTTCGTACCATAAAGGCGTGAACTTCACCAGTTAATCAGACACATGTAAGTTAACTATATAATTTATTTTATTTGCATTCTATATGTCATTCCATATTTTCTTATAATTAAATTTATTTAATATAAATGATAAACAAGTAATTCATAATAGACAATTTATTTCATTTGTTTCGATAAAATCAATCATTTAATAATAGATTTAAATAATAAAGAAACATGCAATAACAATTAACTATATAATAATCATTAATGTGTTAGATTTAGTAAAAAACAACATTACCATCATAATTTAGATCATGGGTACTAACAACGCTCTTTAATGGATCATGATTTCACTTTTACTCCTTAAGTTTGGCCCCATTCAATGATTCACCTATAAAAATGAATAAGATAAGATTATTATTTTGATTCACTTTATTCTTAGTTAATTATCTTTTATTTGAATATGTAAATTTTCATTTTGTTCTAAATCATTTAATTTATTTCTCAACATAGTATTATTATTGACTTACAAGATTATACTTTAACCTGATACACAATATGCTTTAACTTGATATATGTACATTTAATTTCTCTTAATTTTACACAAAGTTAAAATATTATCAACTTAAAATTGTACATAATTTTTGACATTTATCACATTTTATTCAATATATTAGTACATCATGAATGTACCTACATGAATCTCGAGGAGAAATGATTGGAGACATATAGAATATAGACTATTAGTGTAAACGACTGAAAGAAGAGAATGAAAGACTCAACGAGCACCGCACGACTGCACCAACACCAACAACCCAGTAACAACCACCTTAAAAATTAGTAGTCGTCCAAGATAAGGTACTTCAGTATAGACACAGAGACCGAAGGTAGGCTGCTTGTCGGATTACGGTGATTACCCTTTGCCCTATGAAATAATCCCACCTTAGGACGATGAGGTTTGCATTCAGTCTCCACAGAATGGGCGACCGAAGATCATTGAAGACGATCGAATGATGTAGGGTCAGTCAAACGAATCTCGGTTGATCGAATGAACTCCAAGCAACCAAATTGGACAGTTACAAATGCAAAGCATTGTTCAAGATAATTACAAAAGCATTGTGGCACTAGCATCGGTTATGGGACTGAATTCTCACTAAGAATATAAAGTACTCAAATCTTTTTCTCTCTTCTTTCATCCGACTAACGATCTATTCCTTAGGCGTAATCCACATGAATAATTTTGGATCCAACATCCTAAAAGTTCCGATGAGCATGCTATTATGCCATCTATAAGACGAGGAGCACACAAGGGTGAAGGAACACATCAAGGAGAAGTCTCTAATGTGGATTATATTCGAGAATTTCTACAACAACAAATCTAGGTACTCCATGACCGGATGGTCGGACAAATCACGGTGTTGGCCCTAGTGGTGCTCGAGGGAAGGGCACAATTTATCCCTTAACCTCTGCTAGCAACCGAGCCTCTAGCTTAATAGACGACCAAAGCTGCTGAGCGAGTGGAAGAGTCCCAATATCAGGACAGTTTCGAATTCGCACAAAGGGGAGAACCATAACCAGGAGCAATGAAAGTCTATCATTTGATGAAGAATGCGTTCGCCGGGCATATTATGCAAGCCAAACCACCAAAAAGTTCAAGGTTTCTACCTTGGAATCATATAAATGTCAAAGCGACTCGCATACCATATTGCGTCCTTTGAGTTGGCAGTATACTTTTTCGATCTCCGACATATTAATATGTCGGCTGTTCTACACCACGCTAAGAGATTCTTCCTCAGGTGGTTTAGCGGACTTCCCGTATGAATTATTAATTCCTTTGGAGACTTTAGGAAGTTGTCCTTGCCTCATTTTTCTAGCGCCCAAAAGTCACGAAAAATTTCATATTTTTTATGGTATATAAAATAGGACTATTGCGAGAGCCTGCGATCGAATGACACAAGGTTCCAAAAGGAGATGCTCTAGGTCCCGAACATGGAACCAGCAGTTGCCAAAGCAGCACTGGCACAAAGATTGAAAAGTCCGCAATTTCAATATTTCTTTAGTTTAAGGAAGCCCGAAACGTTGATTGGACTCTTGGATCTAGCTAATGACTATATTGTGCCTGAGGAGTGTATGAATCATCCGATTTATAATGTTGATCCATAGTCGATATAGAACTGCTCAAAGTATCACGGCTTGAGAGAGAAAAATATCCCTCATCCACAAATTGAGAGAGGCTGCTTAGTCCAAAGACGTAAAGAAGATGAATGAGTATTGCACCGACGTAGCCGATCGAACGCTCGGTCTGCAGGAGACCGAAGAACATCCAATTTATACCACTTCAACTTTCTATGGTGGAACCTGTAGACGCAATAGAGGACAAGGAGTATTTTTGAAAGGCGACTCCACTGAAATCGGAGCTTCCCTTTCTGAACCCTAATGAGTATTGCAAGTATCATCGGGACCATGTGTATGACACCGAAAAGTGCAGCTATCTTCGCAGCCTGGTCAAGGAGTTGATACAGGCCAAAAAGTTGAAGGAATTTGTAGCCTCAGAGGCTCACACTCGGCGGAAAGGCAAAGCTCCAGTGGAGAGCGAGTCGAGCAAGCCATCCCTGGCCAACGCCATTCATATAGAAAGGATCATACTAGCAACACTGTGAGGCGATTCATATGCTAGGGTCGACTGAAAAAGAAGTCGATCGAGGAATTAATGTGCTATGATACTCGCTCCAAAGAGAAAGTCAAATCCTCTAATCATTTTCACCAATGCGGATCTTCCTCTGACAACAAATCCTTATAATGACTCCATTGCTGTAACAACTCTAATTAGTAATTACCAAGTAGGTAGTATCTTTGTCGATACTGGAAGCTCAGGGATCATTTTATTTCGAGTCGCGTTTGAAAAGATGAATATGACATTAGATCAATTAACTACACTTACCGGCCCGCTGTATGGTTTCTCTAGCAAACGAAAGGAGGCACTTGATGTAATAACACTCTCTGTTTCTCGGGGAGAATGAGACAATTGATTTACCAACATGGAGGATTTTGTAGTAGTTGACGCACCACTAACCTACAAGGCATTACTCGGTTTCTCTCTTCTCCACAATTTCCTTGCCATGTTATCAACTTACAACATAACTATGAAATTTCCCTGTAACAGGGTGATAATCACTATACATGAAGATCTAGAGTATTCCCCAACTTGTTGCACGCGAGCCATAGAAACCGTGGAGCATGAAACATTAGACATACAAAATTAGAGAGGAGGAGGCCTTGAAACTGACGAAACTATTACCAAAATCCCAGCGAGCCTAGAGGATTCTGGTAAATATTTTCTAATCAATGAGACTTTTAATACAGGTCACAAAGGTTCGTTGATCCAAATTCTCCAAGAACACGATATTTTCGCAGGGTCGGTGGTCGGAATGCCTAACATTCCCATCGATGTTGCTTGTCATAGACTCAATGTCAGTTCAAATACCAGGTCAGTGAAGTGGAACTCCGGTCGACAA